ATAATAAACAGGAAGAGATTTTAGCTGGCATTAATAGCTGCCTGAGGCTGTAGGAACAGATAATCCTAAAAGCATTTTTCAGACTATGCCTTTTTAAATAACTACATTTGAAATACATACTTTGGTCACTCCACACAGACACTGAAAACAGCAAATGGCCACCCCCTCAGTGGCTTACTGCAAGCTTTGAGATATCACTAAATAAACAGAGAACAGAGGTTGTCTATAAAAATGTGTTGAAAAAGAGGGATAAATGCACAAGGCCCTGTTCAAAAATTAAGTCATCACTTGTGCAAACGAGTTTTAGATGCCAGTAGAGAGGGACAAAATTATTAAACAGAAAATAAATACAGAGGCAAGAAAAAAGAAAAAGGATATGCCAGAGTTATATTTGTTTGTTACCCTGAAAACTCTGTGGCTCTCAGTTAACTGCGGGGTTCCTTTCTAAACCTCAAAATAAAAAGGACATGCAAGGAGAGCTGATCAAAAAGTATAAGTTTCAACTGCTAATGAGAGAAATGCTAGCTATTTTTAAAATCCTAATGCACTTTCAAAGTTTTTGTGTTACTGGACAGTAACAGTAGGCAAAGGGAAAATTATAGGATAGCCATAAAAAATGGTGGTTGATGATTTTGCTCACCTTTATGGCATGAATGGAGTTTTGGTTTCAATCCTCAAACAATTTCTAGCTGGAATACCAGCATGATGGTAACTCAACACTAGAATTCCTAAGAACCCAGCAGTGCCAGGTTAACATTCTCCTTTTTGAGGAAGTGTATCAGAGACAGCTGTATAACTTCTTCTGAGCAATTACTGCCCAAACATCAGCATATTTAGCTCTTTCCTTTTGTGTCTGACAAAGAATCCCTCATTCAGTTTATTCCTGGTAGGGTATTTTTGAATTTTTTTTTTTCTCCTGTCCAATGGCAAAACCAGATCAATGCAGCATTTCTGAAACCATTTCTGTCTGTGAGGGGCAAATTTCTAATACTGAGCAGCAGCACAGCTCTGGGCATTGCATCACAGGGAATGCAGCCAACAGTAACAAACGCTGCCCTGTTTCCCATCTCTCATCCCGTTCTGTTTCAGTTTCGGTGGCTGGAAAAGCAAGCTGGTATTTCCAGCTACGGGAGTCTGATGCTACCCCTGCAGCCGACCAGAAGAGGAGGCTCTGACACTGAGCAATGGGCTTCCCTCGAGAAAGATGCCGGGATCGGGCAAGGGGAAAACTGCATTTTCATTTCCCAGCGTAACGTCAGTGAATGAGCTTAAACCTGATAAATGCAGAGGAGTTTAATTTTGAAATGTTATTATTATACTTCTCTTTATAAACATCCAGTTTCTAGGAAAGGCAAAGCTCCTTCTTAGCAATCAGAGAAGTGAGAAACAAATTTATATTGGAAGACAAAATACCGAGTTTTGCAGGTCCTCTCCCTTTGACAGCTCATTTTCTAATTATCTATTGCTATGACCTGACAGTTCTAGCTCACCTTTTGCACTTCTGGGAGAACGATTTTAACAGTATAATAATGAATCTGACCACCCAACATGTCCAAGAAGCAGTTGTTGCTTTTAAGGTTTTTATAGAAAGAAGGTAATGGAGGCAGCATGGCACTAAATGACTCTGCTCAGACATCCAACAAACTGCTTTTGGCTGAGCCAGCTCTTCCATCCTATGCTTTACTTAAAAAGTCAATCATCTCTTCTTCTATTTTCTCTTAGCCACATAGGTTCCCAAATTTGGCAGAAACAAATCATGAGTGTTACACGATCCTCACTGGGTACTCCAAAATAAGTGTGTTCAGCACTGTTTCATAAACATCACAGCACACAGTCATGCTATTAAAATTGAAGAGGCTGTCAATACCTTCATGCAAAGGAACAAAGGTTAAAGCTGTGCTTAGCCTTAAAGCTTCAGCTTGAATGTTTTGAATGGCACTGAGCTGAATCTTCACCTGTGTTGTGTCACCCTTGAAGAGCTGCAGGAGCTCACTGACTGATGATGGCTTAGCTTCAGTCCTTGGATTCATGTTTATTCTTATTGTTATTTGAATGCTTTCAACATTAACTATGTCCTTCTAACTAGGCCACATCTGTGCAAAAGACTACTAAATCTTTTGACTAATCAAGAAAGACTGACTAAACTAAATGAGCATTGTTTCCAGTTTGACATTAATGTCAGATAAGGATATAGTGAAACTGCAAATAAATCAAACATGTATCTCCAATAATAGCCCTACAGCTCAGTTAGTGCCTTATTTATGGTTGCAGAACCTATATCATCCACAACATTGATCAGCTATGTGAAAGAATGGTTGACCTTTGTGACAGAATGTATGCTTATTTCCCTAAAACACAAACATCCCAAGACCACAGTACTCAAAGAAGAAATGCATGCTTGAAAATTAGTGGAAGCTGCAATCAGATCAACATTACGTACAAGAGAATTTCAGGTTTAAACCAGACACTGAACTTGCACATGCAGGTTGTTTAGCTCACATTGACATGCTTTAACCTTAACCAGAGAAGGGTGAGAAAAACTTCTCTTGATGTTTGAGGACGACACTGTCACGACTGTCTTGTAGTGCAGTTTTTTGCTGTTTTTTTTTAAATACAATCAAATTCACTTCATGTGAGCCATCAGTCTAAACACTGTCAAGCAGTGATGTGGAGGTGACAGCTTCTGCCTATGTGTCACAGAATTCCTCATTTCTACAGTGATACTGTTACTAGAAATAATAAGGGACAAGCAAAGAAACCTTGATTTTTAAAATATTTTTACTGTACCATATCTTCCTGCAACATCACCATACCATTGCTTATCAGTAAAGAATTTTTATTCTGGATTTGGAGACTTCTCTGATGGTTCAATGCCTTCATTCCCTTCCAAATTACCTCCAGAGAAGAATTCTTCTTCACTTCAAAATTACTATCATCTACAGTGTAGACCAGTCTAGTGTAGACCAGTGACATAAATGTCCCTCCTCTTGATCTGCAAAGGGTCCCCCACTCCAGCACTCTACTGCTACCTCTTCCCTCTGGGCCAAAGACCCTACACCTAAGATACTTCTGAATAGAATGTTTCCCACCATACCTTCTCCTGGATGTCACCTTTTTCCTCCAGAAAGGTTCCAGTAATTCTCTTTTCCAGCTGTCAGCACTGCCTGTAGCCCATTCACAACAGCTCCTATGAACCTTTCCTAAGCACCAATGCACAGAATTCTCAAAATCTGAGACAGCAAGCTCCTGAAAATGGGTTGAGTCCTTTGATCCTCATCTCTCTCTAAAGGGTTAGGAGAGGAGACATAAAATATCTTCATGGCTTTCATGCCAAAGGCTCTTTTAGGACCTTTAAGAAAGGCCTACAGTGCAAAGAGTTAACTTTCTTATATGGTAGATAGTTAAGGGAGAAAAACGTTTTGTGTGATAAACAGGTTTGAATACCTATGGCAGTAATTTTCAAATTGACTCTCGACAAGGAATAAATGCACCCAACACAGAGTCATGAAAATCCAACCTATAAAAGCTCTGTGTGACTGTGGTGGCAGCAGACAAATGTTTCATACCCGTGCAGGTGCCATAGAGAGTCCCAAAAGGTGTCTGTCAGTCTCGTGTTCGTGAATAACTCTGAAGAGACATATCCACTCTCTGCCTTGAAAACTAACAGCACTGTGTAATTCTTGAGGGGAAATAAGAAATCTCTCCCCTTCCTGTCCCTATTACTTTGCTGGTGCAGTCAAACCCCAGTCTAACTAAAAAAAATGATCCATCGCTTCTGTTATAGCAATTTCATAACACTGTTTGGTGACTCTTCCAGTAACTTTCTCCAAGATAACTTTTATAAAATCATGATATAAGCAGAAACAACTCTGAGCAAGATAAATCCTTAGTTTCATCTTCCCCTGCCAAAAAGTTTACAAGATCCAGCCTGAAATAACATTTTTGTCTCAACTAATAAATGGCCAGTCAGGTTCATTTAAAATTTCACAAAATAAAATTGAATCAAATGATTCTCCCCAAGTGCATTCTCTGTTAGTTTGAACCTATTTGAGGCAGTTTCAGGGATGATGTTACCTTCTGCTCTGAATTTGGAAGGCATAGTGTTTATAAAAATTACTTAAAATTGATCTGTGGATGTCAGAACTGCCAAAACCAGTAGAACGTCATCTAATTCCCCATGTATTTAGATCTTCAGTGCTTCTTATTTTTTAATGCATGCTAGGGATGAAACTGGCACTGACAGAAGGGATGAGCTGCAGCAATGGAGACTTCACCTCCTCTCCATTTATCTAATGAAAGGTGTCAGCAATCCTAACATCCTACCCAGTGCTTAAGCCTAAGGACACATCCACCATCTTTCAGGTATCCTGGCTCCTCAGTGCCTCCAGAGATACAGAAGATGAGTTGCCAGGTGCAGTCAAGGAATGCTGTTTGTTCTAAAATGAATGTTTTTTTATGAAAGATGAGGAGCTTTGACAACAGAAACCAAGCCATCCGTTTCCTCTGCCGCTTGCTGTTATTCATTACATTGACTTATCCTCTTTATTTTTTTATTCTCATTTCTTTTGAATACTCTGACAAGAGTGCAATATGATGCAAGCTTTCAAAAGGCCTCATGTCCTCTTTCCAAGTCAGTGTCTTTTCAGTTGTATTCAGGATTTGGATAGACTGAGGTACAGTCTTACGGTTTTCCCCCAACAATCTACAAAAGCAAATGTATATTTTGAGAAGCTTTAGTAGCCTCTTGCAGCCTAGATGAAAACAAGCTGCTCAGAATGGGTTAGACAAAATCACATCAGAGGCTGCTGGATGCTTTGGTCCTGCTAATCAAAAATCAGGAAAATACAGATCACTAATTGCATTGCAGCATTTTGCTGCCTGTGCATTCATTCAACCTTTACTTATTTGAGGCAGGCAAAAGCTATTTCCTGTAGTAGGTATTCACCTTCACTGCAGTAGATAAAAATGGTGTTCATTTTGGCTGGGAATTTGTCACTTACCTTCTGGTGGGGGATTACAGCCCTGGGAGAGTCAATTCTGGGAGCTGTGGTTGATACTGGCACTGGACGTTTAGATCTGGGGATCAAAAAAAACCAAAAAAAACCAGAATAAAAGATGAGCAATCTGGACTCCTATTTTTCAGCTCTAATTTCTTGCCAAAATGGTGCTTCATCAGGAGTGAAAGTTCAGCATAGCCTAGACTTTTCCTATCAATCATCATGCGTTCTCTACATCCTCATTTACAAAGGTCTTATATGTGAGAAATGGTTTGAGAAAGTTTCTGTGAATGATGAAAACCCATGAGTTACGGAAGCAGCCTCTGACTTGGGAGATCATCTGTTTTCCAATACCTTGTGGCAAACTGCATTTTCATAGATGAGAATCAGCCACAACTGGATAAATTCAGGTTTGGGCAGCACTCTGGGAAAAGGGACTTAGTGGTGTTTTGAAATGCAGAGGCTGAACTTTGGTGCTGAGGCATCTCAAGAGCAGCCCCTCAAAAGATCATTATTTAATAGTTTCAAGTATAGAGCAACTGCGATTATTTAAACCTCTCTGCAGGAAGAAACATGAGGCCTCATTTCAGACAATTTCGTTTCACAAGGAGCAGAACACTACTGAATTAGCTACTCCAAATGCCTGCCTTTCTCCTGTCAAGTATTTGACACCTCCTTGATCATTTAAAAAAACAAAAATAAACCACCCTAAAATGCTTCCAAAAGACACAGTTTGCCCTTTCATTGGTAAACAACCAAGAAAGCACAGTGACAAATGCTAACTGAAGCACTTGTAGGATGCTCAGGTAAGTGAAGATGTATTTGTGGGAGGTGTTGTACAAATCTGCATAGTGCTGAACATTCCACTGAAATCTTCCCAGTACACATGGGATCACCAGAGAAAATTAAATGAAAAATGCAAAAATAGTCAAAATAATCAGAATTTTACAAGTAATATCCCATTACCAACCTACAGATCAGGGTGATGCCTCAAATTCTAATCTTGAAAAAGTACACTGCAAAATTAGGACGGGGACAAAAATGAAATAAAAATACTTAAGAGTTTACAAATCAAGTAGAGATGACTGACACATTTGGAACTGTTTGCTTTAGACAGGAGATGAATAATGGAAGACAGAGGCTTAGAAAATAATGAAAACTAGAAAAAGGAAAATAAAACTACACTTGTGGACATTAAGTGAAATTGAAGACAACACATATAAAATAGATAAAGGCAAACATCTTTTCCTGGAGCACTTGATTAACCCAAGGTGAAACTCATTGTTACAAAACATCATTGAGACTATGAGAATAAGCAGGATATCAGAAAGGATGAGATAGTTATAGTTACAACAAAAACCCCAAGAGCAGCTTTAGACTGTGTATAACAAATAAACGTATATATTCTCATTTTTCAAGGCACAACTTGAAAGACTGATAGGAAGAGACCTTCTGTGTTAGGTTCATTATTTCCTTCCTGAGGGCTGTGTTGCACTTTCCTCTGAATCACTTTGCAATGGCATCTATCAGAGAGGGAAAGCTGAGCTGGACAAAAAGTGAGCTCATCCACAGCGGCAATCCCTGCATTAGCACCGAGCTTCACACTGAGCTCTGAGTTCAGCTTTTGTTGCCACACATGAAATTTTTCCATAAACAGGAGTAAACAAATAAAAAAAGAGCACCTAGGAGAAAGCAGCAATCCTTACAGGAACTAGAAAATTTCCACATATGGAAATCTTGCTACTTTGAAAGCTGAAAACAAAGCCAATGTAATAGATGCCTATCTCACAACCAGATACTGTGAGAAGGAACAGTTTGAGCAGACAGTGAAAACTGGCATTTTGTTAAACAATGTTTGATTAACCTGTGAAATTCACTGGCAAAGTATTCCTGAAACAACAGGCTAGGAAATTGTTAAAGGCACTAGTATTCATACTCATAGTTGAAATATATCACAGTATACTCCCTAAGACATAATTATCTGAGAAAGATATACTTTCAAGTTCTAGGAGCAAGAGCTAATCACTAACTGCCTCGAACAAACCTTCCTCAGGCAAGTTACTAACTGATCTTCCCTCAGGAATAAGTGCCATACCCTTCCTCCAGCCATCTTAGCTTACAAAGACAAACAATAAATCACACTCATGTGACATGCACATATATCATTAAAGACAGCAAAAAAGAGGAAAAAACCCAACTGCAGCTCATAACACAGAGTTGCTGAAAACTGACAGTGACAATTTAGGAACAGACAAAGATTTAGGGGAAGATTCTGATCTTCTTTCCAACGGTGTCATTTCCAAGTACACCCAGTTATTTCTGTGGAGTGACAATGGGTGGGCCTGGGCATTCCACGTTAAGTGTCCCTCTGCTGTGCTCCCTGATCATGAATTTTAGTGCCAGAGTTGCACAACACTGGAAATGTGGTTTGCCATGTACAGAGGTGTAGCAAACAACACACTGCATGTTTGATGCATAACTGGAAAATAGTTGTATTGCAGCAAGGGAATTTATTTACCAGACTGTTCCAGCACTTCTGATGCTTATTGTTCATCTATTTTTTTCTCACTCATTACCTGACCACAGAAGAGGATGTTAAAAAGCTGCATTCCTTCCATATTACTGATAAACTTCATCTGCCATTCACAGTGCTATTCAACCAAGATTTTTATTTTATATCAATGTAGAGATTTCAAGATGTTACTTGAAAACAATGAGGTTCCTACATAACTCTGCCCTGAATGTTTATAGCTTTGATATTTAAAAACAGAATAAGACTTGCTAGATTTATCAGGAGCTTGCACCAGACAAAAGGGCAGGAGAGGTGAAATCAATTTGTGGAATGAAACTCTATGCACTTGCAAAATAAAGTGATTATTTACGTAAGAGTCATTACTCCTCTGGGAAAAACATCTGCAAGTTCAGAATACTTTTTCCCTCCCTCTTTTGCTGGATGAATCCAACCCTGCAGCAACACAAGTTTGCTTTTCAAGTGATGATGGTGCTGTGGTAAACATATATATGTCCAGGTTTACACTTTAATCCACTGATCGCAAAATTATTTTATTCCAAACACTTGAGGAGTGTTCCTGCTCAATAGGGTTATGAGAGGGATGAAAGCCCAAATTTCACAAATTACTGTGATAATTTTAGATTTGATGTTGAAATTTCCCATCAAGATTCTTTTTCTTAAGCAAATAATTAGATTTCAACTTTCAGACATTTTCTTCTATATTTTCCAAATTAAAATGGAAACAAAAACCTCATTTAAAAATGAAAACTCAGAACAGTTCTAATGATGACCAAACACATCATTCCCATATTTTTTAAAACTTTTGTCCTTTCCTCAGATACACCTCTCCTCTCCCTCAATACTGGTTCTCTTTTTTAATGAGGTTCGAAACCAAGATGGATGCAGTTTTGCAAAGCAGTTCAATTTTGATAGCACTGCTGAAATGGCTGTCAAAATTTCTACTTGTTCCCACCTACCTAAATATATCTTTAACTGAAGAGCACTTGACTTCAACCCTGCTATTTCTGCACTCACAACAAAGGTTCATTAGGAGCCAACTGCATTGAGGAGCTGCCTGCCTAAGGAAGGGCTGCAAAGGAGTTCTGTGATTCACTCTCAGTTTAAATGGCATCCTCAGAGAAGCACAATATTGTACGTGCAGAGAGGTGACATGATCTAAGAGATAATAGTTCTTTTTCATTTTCATAGGGCTTTTCTTCTATCTTCACCCAGTCAGTGCCTACCCTTTCTAATTCTCAGGACAGCTAAAATGAACATTTCTTCCTTATAGTAAGCTTTTGCTTTTATTTTGAGACACAAGCACTTCTTTATATCTTGTTGAGCATCTTAATAACTGTATCTTAATATTTCAACCACTAGAAAATTAAAAGAGTCAAGTGCATGGAAAGGTAACAAACCAGATTAGATTAGGATTAGAAATGCCTAGAACACTTTTTACATACTTTACCTATCACCTAACTGAAATGGAGTCTTTCTGGAGTGGAGTGTGAATTTGCAGAATGCAAAACAACAGAGCATGTAGAATTGGGTGTCTGATATATATTTGTTTTAATGGATTAATATTCCTGACAATTTGGTGGGGATGATGGGAGTGTGGGGAAGAGAATGGAAAAGGATCAGCTAGGTATTACTCGTGGTTATCAATTTGAGGTGTCCATCTAATATGAGCTGAGATAACAATGTGCCAGTTAAATCTTCAGCTAACCAGTGAATTAAGCAGCCAAACAGAAGCTTCTTCTTGTTTATAAGTCTTGCACAGAAAATCTTGAGTCTCATGATACCATGGTTTAATTCTCTAAGCCCTGGCTGGGACATCAGCAACCAGTCTCAGTGACTCCAATGAGAATCACAAAGACAAAGCCCTGAACATTTCACAGGACTTCAAATGTAAGTGTGGTTGCTTTGGGACTGGGACGAGACCTACTTTCCCTCTCTTAGGACATCATCTGTGCTTGTAATAAAACTGAAAAATATTACCATCAGCAGTTTTGCTCTCTGTATATCAGTGGCAAATGCAAATATTAGCATTTGGCTGGAGGGCTGATTCGTTAATTATTTCCCTGCACTCGGATGGCAAGGTGGGCAATTACAGTTTCCAGACCTAATGTTCATACCCACAGCAACACACGGACAAGAACTTTTCATGAACAAATGGCATCAGCCTAAAAGGCAGCAGCTATCCAATCAAAAAGCTGTTTCTAAGTATGTAACACCCATTTTCCCTTACAAGGGATCTGAGTCAGAGGCAACCACAAACACTAAGGGACGGCGAGGCAAAGGAAAAGGGAAGAAGCCTTGGAGATTTTTGCGACAGCAAGGAAAGAAAGGGAACTGGAGCCAGTGTCTCTGAAGCTGAGATTTTTGCAAAGGCTCTCTTTCTCTCTCTTTGACCCTTTCCACTTCTGTGGCATCTGCACAGTGCCAGTTGCATCTTCCTAACTCCTACCCTCTCCCCTGCTCTGCAAAACCCCTTCTTTCTTGAACTGCCCCACATTCTGCCCTCCAGTCTGTTCCTCCTGAATGGAGCAACTGGCTGTTGATGCCTC